CCACCCACCCACCCTGTGCTTTTCTGCCCAGTGGAGGAGGCTAAATTAGCTCTTATTGCTATAATGAAATGCCTGAGACCAGGCCCACTGATGAAGAAAAGAAGTTTGTTTACCTCTGGAGGTTCAGAAGCCCAAATGGCATTGTGCTGGCTTGGTGCAAACTTCTACTGGGCTGCATCACCTCATGCAGGTAGCATGGCAGGAACATGCTGGGAATCGGTAGACTATCACTACACATGAGCGTTAGATAGGGCTAGGCTTGCTCCTTTACAAGACCTCCCATTAGACCCTGGACCTACCTCCTTACTTGTTTAATTTTATGTGTGCCTGCATACGAACTGTGTGAGTACAGTGCCCATGGCCCCAAAGATTGATTAAAGTCAAACTTTTCTTTTCTAGATAGGGTCTAATGTAGCCCAGGCTGACCTTGTACTCCTGAGCCTTCTCTTCCCAAGCATAGGAACTCTGGTCATGATTCCTTATGTTGGGCCTCAGGCCCTTAGTTCTAGTTTCTTCAGTCCCATTGTGGCCCATGACCCCCTGAAAGCTTGCTTCCTCTACATGATGGTGACATGACTACTATAATGTCCCCATGTTTGTGACTGCTCAGACCCCTCCAGGATTCATACTCGCCAACATTTTTTATGCTTCTTTCCTCTCTGCACATACTTTTTTTGTTTTGTTTTGTTTTGTTTTGTTTTGTTTTTGTTTTGTTTTAAAGCCATTTGAGTTAATTGCAGGTATGTCCCCAATCAAGTTTGTCAGCATAGGAACCTGTGTGCCAGGGCCATTCTGTCACACATCAATGGCAGACATCTGTTTTTTGTTTTGTTTTTTAAACCTCATTACTTGTTGAGAGGAATTTTATTTATTTATTATTTTAATTTTTGACATAGGTAGCTAAGTGCATGCCTTTAATCCCAGCTCTTGGGAGGCAGAGGCAGAGGCAGGCAGCCTGGTTGACAGATAGCCAGGATAGTCAGAGCTGTTACACAGAGAAACCTTTTCCTCCTCCTCCTCCTTCCTCTTACTCCTTCTCCTCCTCCTCCTCTTCTTCTTTTTCTTCTTCTTCTTCTTTGAGACAGGATCTCACTATGTAGCTCTGGCTGTCCTGGAATTCCCTCTATAGAGCAGGCTGGCCTCCAACTCAGAGATTTGTCTGCCTCTGCCTCCCAAGTGCTGGGATTAAAGGTGTGTGCCACCAGCATCTGGCTTAAACCTTGTCTTGAAAAACAAATTGAGACAGATATCTTGGGCTGGTCTTGAACTTTTTTTTTTCAGACCTTACATATTTAATACAGTGCGTTACCCCTGTACAAACGGTAAACTGGGATACTTTTTTCAAAAGTTGACAGCACAGCTAAAGTTTCTAACAATTCAAATTATATAGGCATCAATAGCAGCAACAGCTGTTCCAGGTTCTGCAGTCATTTGAACAAAATTGTAGAGACATCCAACACTCTCCATTAAAAAAAACAAAAAAACAAAAAACAAAACAAAACAAGTAAAAAACAAAATCCCAGAAAAACAGCACAGTTCTGTTACCCTTGTGGGACCTGGCACCATTTTTTTTTTTTTTTTTTTTAGATTAGCTTCTCAGTCATCATCTGGGAGGAAACCATTCTGAGCAACATCACTAAAAACAGCTCTGATAAAGAATGGTCACTACTATATATCATAAGGCAGGTCCACATATGAGTGAGTACATATCATGTTTGTCTTTTTGTGATTGGGTTACCTCG